CTTTTATTTTCTTTTATGTTGCGTAAACTTATTTTTCATCAATCTTGGAGAAGATTAGGCTTCTTTAGGCCTTGTCGAAAACCTGAAATGGGCTGGACTCCGTATGACCAACGTTCAGCGAACAGTTTAGCTGCGGTGATAACATCAGATGGGTTGGTGAAATAAGTTTTTTTCATATATTTCATTCCTGAAAATGTAGGAGCCAAAATTAGGAGCCTGGTGGTCGAATTCGGTGTTAATTTACATTGTATAGACGTCTAAGGATATCCATCGCATAAGTCCGTAACTCCAGCATTCGATACGTTCCATTGTCACTGAGTTCGCGGTATATCATCATGTATATGATTATGCCTGGTAGCTAATGCAAGTCTTCACAGCATATGTCTTTTTAGTATACGTCTTGGTAGTATGAATCTTTGTAATAAAAGTCTTCGGCCGACCTAGAGCGGCCGTGTGATGCAACATGGATCACTACTTGCGCGTGCGCGGCGTTCACGTCTCCCGTTGTTGGCGTGCGCTGTTCGAGGTTACGGTCTCAGAATCATGAGAACATTATTACATAGCCGGAATTCAAGGAAATCGTTACTTCATTATGCTTCCGATCTCTTCTTCTAGGTGTAGTCTCTTTCCTGTTTTTTTTTTTTCAATAGATTCGTTTCCTTTTTCAAACATTTTTTTTTATCTTTCACTTTATTAACTTAACAATTCCCCTGGCTTAAATGTGATAAATTTTCCGTTAACACAAACAAATTTCATTGGAGTTCTTCACTAACTCTTAATTCTTCACTCTTAAACATTGTATTCTAATAACCTGAGTCGTACTCTGGGAAGACTTTGACCTCGCCAGACGCCGCGGCTCTCTCTTTCTGCTAGCGCGTGTCATCTCGGTTTCAAGGTTGACATTTAAGCGCCTACGTGCGAACCGCTGCTGTTGTTCCCTCTCTTTGTGATGCGTATAATAAGTTAATAACAGGTTATTATAATAGTTTAGTGCTTACTAGGACAATCTCTTCGATTTTCATTAGTTTTGAGCTCTGTACCTGCGAAGCGCTGCTGTTATTCCCTCTCTTTGTGATGCGTATAATAACAGGTTATTATAATAGCTTCGTGGTTACTAGGATAATTTCTTCAGCTTTCTTTATTTATATGCGTTTTACCAGCGAATCGCTGTTAACTGTTGTTTTTCACGTTGTGATGCGTGTAATTACGTGTAATAGCTGGTTATTGAAATAGTAACTTGGTCTCAAGGATTATTTTACGGTGTTCAATTTTCATTATTTTTATGTGATTCAAGTGGGTATATTAATTTACGATATACTTTTTGATTCTTCATTGACTTGTAATGCGCACATCGCTCATGCCAGGGCAGTTTGGGGTTCTTGGTTTCATTTTAATTAATGGGGGTTTAAATAATTGCTCAACGTTATACATGCACTTACAAGCTCATAATTTAATTAAGATGTGTTCCTCAGTAAAATATGTTTATAAACTGTCGTCATAAACATCATAATATGTTCTTTCAGTCGTGCTCCAATTAACTACTTCATATTCAGGAGCAAAATTTAAACAAAATTTCTTATTTCACTTCTGCACTTCTAGGAAATGGAGTCATTGAGTGGAGAAAAAAATTTGCATGTTTTTTCCTTTCCCAATTGAAGAAATTTGTGTACTTTTAGGTTATTTCCTATATTTTGTAATGATCCATCACTGTGGACATTGTTGCTCAGGGTTCAAGTATATGAATGGCGATCGTTCCATGATTGTACATACCGGTAATCATGTACAATAACATAATCATCAACATAATCCTCTTGTACATTGCCTGACATAATTGCACACATTATACTTTCATGGGTGCTTCTTTCTCAGCCGAGATTGTGCTTATCATTGACTCTGAATTCGTACACCAACGTTTGGATCGGCAACACAGTTTTTTTCTTGCATCACAAAAGCTCTAATTCTAATTTTACAGTAACTTCTCATAAGGCGAGTTGAAAAACCCGGTGGAAATTTTGATATTCTTGACTTCGTAAATGTTCGCTTGAAATGAGCTTGAGTTTATACCCAAATGAAAATGATTAACTCACTATAGGGCTATGTAGGTCGCTACAACCGGTCACCATGAGGTTTGTGAAACCGGTTCCACAGTTCGTACCGTTATCCCGCCTAGTACCCTGCATCGGCGCTTGTGCATACCAGAATACGTACCCAATTTTATGCACTAACCAAATCGTTTTCTTGACCTATTATGACCACTTCATCACATTAATCATTAGTTTCTGTACTCACAATGATTTCGACTCATCAAAACATCTCTCATCGTCACTTTAATCATTGCATGGATTCCGAACACTACGAAGTCCAGCTACGTCTCCCGATCAACTTTTTCTCCTAGGAAGAAAATTCATTTTCCTGTATCCGCTATTGGCACCGAAGCATCATATATTTCCTGCATGTATATGTATATATATATGTGTGGCAACATTTCAGCCATAGATAATACCCATATTAAAGAATAGATTGATTTCGGAGCCCACCGGGGGGAAATCACTGAGCTCGACTGTTTTTTTTTCAACGAGTCATGAACCGAATAAATCTTGTTTCAGATTTGGGTCGAGTTCCTGCTTCTTAGTTGTCTGAATGACGATTTGGTTCAGGTTATGTCTCCATAACTGTGCGGCATGTATATTTCAACCCATTGTTTTTGGGCGGGCGAGCAATTTCGTGTATTTGGGTCGAACGAATCTCGGTCGACGTTTGGTATTCGTAAGCGAACCAATAGAAGTGTGTGCGCTACGTTAAGTAGTAAGTGTGATCATGTTGTGCAGCAATTACTGAAAAGCATCACATTCTAAATATTTTGTTTGCCTTCGTGTTATTAAGCTCTAACAAGCCATGCGTTCTTAGAATGTTGTCGTCTCTTGCGGAATTTCATTTTGAAGCTCAATTTTCATGCATTAAAACGAATGTTACTATCCTTATAACCGAGTTGAGGTATTCGAAAAAAATATATCAGTTTTATTTCCTGCAAAAACTAAATGAATTTGATAATTTTCAGTTATAGCAACCATTAAATAGAATCATCTTTATACTGCGTGGTACCTCGACCAGACTCGCCTAGGACGTTACTCGCAATAGAATTTTTGATCACAATATAATAGAATTTTTTGATAGAATTTGCTCCCTGGTTTTTTGTACTTTGTTTGACTTCTGCTTGGGATACTTTTCTCCATCTTGCAAGCAGCTTGAACTGTGTTCTGCATGGGTCTCTTCAACAGGCTTCTGCATGACTAATTTATCTATCTACTGCTTATTTGAAACCCGTTTTTGCAGTACTCACTCAATGCATTACCTGGCTTACTTATTTGGATAGGTTTCTCTGTATGAATCTGTTCAACGTATGAAGACCCTATTTTTTTAGTTTATGTTGTACAATCGATTTTTTAATTGTTAAATAAATTTAATTTCGTTCGCGTTCAAATTGCAAGTATTTGAGTCTTAAAATGACGACTTGACGCATTGGAGTTTCGACAATTGATTATAATTATTTGATTTCCAGTTGATTGAAATTTCAACTAAATTATATTTACTTTTGCTCTTTGGCTTATTGTTAACTAATTAGTAATGCATGTAGCTGCTGTAGATTGCCTGGAATGACTTGGAAAAGTCGTGTTTTTGAGAATCGCATTCTACTGTAGAGTCGTATCTGCAATCGCCACCATATGTTATAGGTCGCTTCTTGAGTCGTAACTACTGATTACTCTGGAAGATGAAGTGAAGCTACTTTTAGGATTGAATTCAAGTCCTTGGTCCATTTTCCTTGACCGCTTTATTTCGTTCTAGCTTAGTGTATGCCAGTTACCCTAATGCTTTTGACAGCCTTTATTTATCTTTATTACCACGTTTTTCTTAGCTCGCTTTCGTGTCTGTCTGTGATGATCAAATCCTGCAATCGATATTTCACCAACTTTCCCGCTAGCTAGCGCTCTGAAACTTTTAGGGAAGCTCAACCACCGATAACAATACAATAATCAATGATTTGTTGCACGTTTCCAGGCGTATATATTACCGAACCTTTCTTTATTACAGCCACGCACCTAGATAAATACGGGAACAACAATGTATCCCCTCGAATACAATTTTCTACAGAACTTTGAAAAGAATTTTCTTTTGTGCATTTGCGTGGTCAACTGAAATGAAATGAATATTATGTAGGATGGTTGACCTTTTTGCAGTAGTTATAAACTCTAAAGGAACTCACAAGCAGGGGTTGGGAACCTTTTTATCGATGATACGCTTCGTATCATCGATACGTACGTCGAGTCAAGTAAATTGGCTCGCAACAACGTTTTTCATGTGTAGCAACGGACTAAAAAGGAGAAAATTAAATACTTAAAAACTAAAAAGTAGAAAATAAAATGTATAAAAAAAATTTTAAAGACCACGTTTTTCATGTGGACTCAAAAGTAGAAAATAATTTTTCGGCAGCTACTGATCTCTGTTTGCTTTCATTCTCTTGATCTTTTGTATTTCAGTTAAAATATTTTACAACATCTAAAACAAAAAACGTGGGGCGCATCTTCATTTAGGCATGCCTTAATTTCAATTTTGAATTCAACAACTATTTCGAATTATATCAGCAATACACTTATCAAATTTCAATGAACCATCATATTCATCATACCAAGTAATCACCAAACAATTAAATACATATGCGCCCCTACGTTTTTCGTTTTAGATGTTGTAAAAAATTTTAACTGAAATACAAAAGACCAAGAGAATGAAAGCAAACAGAGATCAGTAGCTGCCGAAAAATTATTTTCTACTTTTGAGTCCACATGAAAAACGTGGTCTTTAAAATTTTTTTTATACATTTTATTACAGAATGCCCTTTGTTGCATGAACAGCTGCCGTTATTAAGACCTATATATTGTTTGCCCGCACTTCCCGCGCATGAACCTGAAATAGTGTGTTTTATCCACGTATTTTACGCTTAATATTTGACTTGAAGACCTATACTCAACTGCACCAGACTAATAACTGTGTGACTCTGACAGATCTTTTGTTTGTCGCATGATTGATTATACGAATTTTTTTAAGTAACTCGAGATGAAATCGTTATTTTTTGGTCTTTGTAGGAGTGTTCCTCACAGAAAAGTCAAGCTCTTAAACAAAACTGTTCACCCTCATGCAAATATATTGTGTTCTAACTCTGCAAGTGCCAAGTTGTTGAGGTATTCATTTTCTGGTATCAAGTGCTACAGAAACTTGAAGTATTTGCCTAGCTCTGTTAGAGTACAGGATCACATAGATATTATTGCCCGTCATTGGAATCGTCACATCGACTCATTTTTAGAAAATTTGAACGAGTCGTACCCTGGTAACCTGACAATGGGCGTTCACGCGGTTCTTGTAAATTCCGAAAACTCGGATGACCGACCAAGTTTTGCTGCCGTAAATCTTGCGCTGGAGTTGGACCAAGGAGACATCCGTGAACACGAAGGAAAAAGCGCTGATGCCAAGGATCTCTTCCCTCTTACGACGGTCCTCCACTCGAGTCTTCCTTCGCAGATCGAAAAAAATGAATTTAATTCGTCTTCCGTCACTTCTTCCAAGACTCCGTCCACGTCTGCGGACACACATTCTACCAGTTCCCGCACTGAATCGCCTATTGACTCCGACACAATCCACTCCAATATTAATTCTCAGTCTACGGAATCACTTAATTCTGTCTCTGATTTAGCCACGTCAAAGAGAATGGCTGCATCGGAAGAATGCAATACAACGCGCTTGTCGAATGCATCCGAATCCAAAATAGCAACGACAAGTGTGTCAGAAACTCGTCCTTCATTGTCATCGAAAGTTAGAGTCCATCCTATTGGTGAGGCAAGTCACAAACGAAAGTCGACAGTGTGCGCAGATGCAAGTGATGTGCTTGCCATGATCTCGCTGTCGCAGTCCCGGGACGATCAGAAAGGCGTTCGTCATGCCTTTGCCAGAGGGTGGAATATTCTCAAACGCGTGCAAACGGTCCCGCGAGATTTGAGGTAATAAATTTGTATTCGCCCTTTACTTTTTTGTCATGGATAAAATTTGTCTACCGATTTTTTAAAGTTTTCAAACCATTTTCATAGATATTTTTAATCTTTATTTATTTTCTTTGTCAGGTTTAAAATTAGTCTCTTGATTTTCGCAGGTTTAAAAGCGTAGTATTTCTTAGATTTGTTTCCTTGTCTTTAATAGAATGTCAGACCAGACTAGTAAATTTTTAATAATGATTTCCCTGATCACGAGTTTGTTATATGACTGCTGAGTCATCTCATTTTTTAATTCTTATCTGAGTGCGTAATGGTTTAGGCCTATGTCATATTTGACGATTCCTGTAGAATTTTCGGGCATCTTGTAATTTTTTTTAGTGTAAAATGTAACTTTTCTGCTATTTTTTGTCTTTTAAGCTTTTTAATCTTACCACAATCAAGATTTATACCTAAAAATATTATCAAATGTTTTATTGTGTCTGAATTGTGTACTTATGTAATTATGTTACTGGACATCAATACATATGGCATTTAGGCACGGTTATTTTACACTCGCATTTTAGTAAGTGCTTTCATTAATTTCGAGAATTTATGTATCAAATGCCATGTATTAAATTGAACTAGAACAGGAAGTAACTGCTGCCAAATGTACTCTTACCTAGAAGCACATGTAAAGGTAGCGCCTTGTGGTCAAGGCTGACCTCGCTAATATATACAAGTATTAACACTTCCGTGAAGTGTCAACTTCGCTGTGTGGTTCTGTGTACCTGTTCAATGAACAGCACACAAGCGATCCCATGTCAATAAATGAACGTGCAATCAGAGAAATGAGTGAGACTTCGGCCAAATAGCGATGCGCTTTTTGCCGTTGTGTGTGTCATCCTGACACAGTTTGGCTCTGCAAAAGGTATATCAGTGCAACATGCACGAAGTGGGTCACTATTTTGACAATGCGACCCCATTAATTTTCTTAGTGTGGGAGATTCCTGTGCTACAGAATTATGTTATTTAATTAATATTATTTATTAATTATTTATTATAATTTATTTTTCTAATTATGTTATTTATTAATTATGTTACAAATTAAAATATTATAAAGACACTTGACATGTTCCAGCATGTCGGATGGAAGTATTTTAGCTGAAATAATTAGTTAATTTTTGTTATCAAGTTTAAAGCAGAGAATCATCAATGTCTCATGTTAGTTTCCTAATTTCAGACTCGTGCGGGCTTGAAGGGTTTTGCGTCCACCAAAACTAAATTTTCTGCTTTAATTAAAAATTAAAAACAAAAAAAAAATCTCAATAATTTGCCATATCTTATTTCAAATATTGAGTTGCGTTGCTATATGCGCCTTTTCCTTAGAAGCATGCCAGGTATCGGCGAACCTTTTATACGTAAGCCATAACAAAAGCGCTCGCATGGACGCGACAATGAAGCTCGGAATTATTTTTTAAATAAATTTCCTAGCTTGTAAGTTTTTGAACGAGTTTTTACACATGCGAAAGAACTTGTTGAACCACCCATTAGTCTCGCCACATTCTTGTAACGATGACTCGCGTCAGATGTACATTTAATTCTCTGCACATTGCCTCAGTTTAACCCTCTTTCATGGAATTGTTCACAGTTTATGCGTGACCATTACTTGTACGTCTATTTCTCGACATGTCCACGAGTTAACCCTTACTCATAAACGCTTCCCAGCTTAATTAAATCGTTCAGTGATGCTATATATGGCGTATTTCAGGGCGTATTTTACACCTGAACGGGCATATTCCATACCTACACTCAATGTGTTAATCTCTGTCGTGGAGGGATGTCCACGATAATGTTGTCGGCATTTGGCTGTTGCAGGGCTTGCCGTTGGCAGCGTTTGACCGCGACCAGTTTTGTCTGCGTCTTACCTTGTATTTATCCTTAAAACTTGCATTCGGGGTTTTTAGAGTTAATGAATTCATGATTTAAAGATATTGAATTCATGAAAATGAAGTAAGTAACCCTACGCGTCACAGAACGCACATGGTGCTGAATCTATAATTTTCTAGCCGTTGCAGAGAAATGAAACTTTATTGTGAAATTTAAATGAGAAATTTCTAATGAAATTAGCTCCACGTAAAAACGGTTGAAACTATACGCACCGTATTTCTCCGTTATTATATTTCTCCGTCACTGTATTTCTCCGTCACTGTATTTCTCCGTCACTGTATTTTTCCGTCACTGTATTTCTCCGTCACTGTATTTCTCCGTCACTGTATTTCTTTTCGTGATGACAAACGATCAATTTTAAATGTGTAGGTTAATAGATCATTATGTCGAGGCATGAGGTGCGATCAAATCTACTCATTCAATGAAGATTCCCGATGATTTCTTATAGTTTTGTATCGATGTAATATACTAATTTAATAATTTATCTCCCGAATAATATTCCTCCCAAAACTGATTAAATCTACATTTTTACATTTATTTCCTCAGTTATTATCGAGGTTTTTTTCTCTGTTATTCTCAGTGTTGCGTTTTTTTTCTTTTTCAAACCATTAAATCGACTTGATTTGCTGCTCGGGGGCACACTTGACTGTTATGCAAAAACCTGACCTTGCCGGAATTTTTGGGCCAGTTTTTATGCCTGCGGATGAACTTGAACTGCCCTTCAGACTCGGCCGCCTATTGTCGCTCTGACTTGATTTACCCTTCAGACTCGGCCGCCTGTTGTCGCTCTGACTTGAATTACCCTTCAGACTCGGCCGCCTGTTGTCGCTCTGACTTGAATTACCCTTCAGACTCTGCCGCCTCTTGTCGCTCTGAGACTCGTCAACATCACTTTTATACGTTTAGCTCACGGCACATTGAATAACTTTTGCTCTTATTCGTGAAATTTTTCACATTAATTCATGAAATTACGTCTCCATTAAGTGTTCCTTTAGTTACCGACACGTTTCCTCCCGCATTCATGATATTACTCACATTTCGGGAGTCACCATTACAAGAACGTCTATTTCTTTTCACGATTTTTCCCTTATTCATGATATATTATTCACATTTTCGTCGTCTTCATTACTTTGACGTTGATTTTTCTGCGCATTGCCTCAATAAATGAAATGGCTCACATTTTGGAGTCACCATTACTTGTACGTCGAGTTTTCTATTCATCGCCCAAGTTAACATTTGCTCATTAAATTACTCACAGTGTGGCGAAAAAATACGATCGTATTTTTTTGTTCACAAATTCTTTTCTTGCCCCCATGATTCCCAGAAATTCTGCATGCCCTTGTAAATTTTAAGATGGCCTCAGTTCTAGTTTTTCTTTCGAGCATCGCGGAACTGGATTTTTTTCATCATTTATCCGACCTCTAGCTGCAAGTGCGCTAAGAGAACAAGTTTAGAATCATCTGTTATCAATTAATATAACGATCGACTTTTGGGTGCGGAGCGATAAATCTTATATATGATCGTTTAGCTCGTTATTTGTTTTTCACTAGTCTTTTTTGAGCAGACACACACTACAGAATTTTTTATTCAATATCATTCAATAATTTATTTTTAGGAACATCGCACTCTTTACTTACAAAAATTTCGTCAAATCTTGCGAAAAAATTTTCGTACGACTTCAAATGTTGCTTCAAATATGATATGCAGTCAATTATTAGTTTCCTTGATTATTTTAATAATTTAAAAATACGGTAGGCGTTTTTTGATGCCAATACTTGACTCGCTGCTCACCGGAATTTGTCCAAAAATCTTCTAATACGCTAGAAAATTGTGATTAACAGTGCAGCCGTAGATTTGCACTTCAAAATTAACTATCATTACGTGCTTTCCCTAATTTGTAAATTTAACTAATAATTATAAATAATTAACAATTCAAATGAATAATTAACTATTAAACAATTGATTTATCTCAAATAATGTCTTTGACAGAGGGTTGTCTCGCTACGTACGCATCCTGTACCGTATGCGCTCAGCCAAGAACCGCAACCTGAACGTGCCCACTGCCTTTGATGAGACCTGCGCCAAACATCCTCATAAGATCGCCTTCCTCTTCGAGGATGAGAAGTGGGACTTTGCCAGGGTAAGATGGTGCTTAATTTCTGTGATTATTGTGTTAACTCTCTAAATACACTCTTTTTCAAACATATTAACATCAGAGTATGTTTTTGAAAGTTGGAAACATTCCTCAAAATCGTCGTAATGTTCGAGAGTGAGAAGTGGGACTTTGCCAGGATAAGATGATGCTCAATTTCTGTTATTATTGTGTTAGCTCTTGCACACTTTTTCAAACATATACTAACAACTGCAAATTGTATTTCAACGGTGAAAACATTCATCAAGATCGTCGTAATGTTCGAGAGTGAGAAGTGGGACTTAACTGATAAGATGATGCTCAATTTCTGTGATTAATGTGTTAACTCTTTAGAAGCACACATTTTCAAACATATTAACAGCAGCGAATTGTATTTAAAAGGTGGAAACATTCTTTAAGATCGGCTTAATATTCGAGAGGAGACTGTAACTTGGCTGGTGTAATTTGGTGCTAGTTTTAAGTGATAGTGGTTTGGATTGGCCCTTTAGAGTTTAGATGTAACTTTTGGAAAATATCTCAAAAGCATAGAATTGTATTTCAAAGGTGAAAACATAGCTGAAGATCATCATATGTTCGAGAGGAAAAGTGGGACTTTGCCGGAGTAATTTGCCGCGAAAATGGCGTTAACAATTTTAATATCGATGTCAAATATCTCAAAAGCATCAAGTTACATTCCAAACGTGGAAAGCTACATTAGCTGATATTTTTTATTCATAACGTTTCAGTTGCAGTTCTTCGTTGATACAAGCAGAACGTTTTTCGTCCAGTGCCGATTTAAAATTTTTACTATAATCTACAAGCATAGAACATAGAGACGCTTTTAAATAATTAATCGTTTGTTAAAATCTTCAATCTCTATTTCATGTATTGATTACTTTTAAATAATATGCATTCAAACAATCATACTATACGCATTGAATCATGCGAGGATTTTTAAAACTATTTAAACGATCTTGGAATTGAAAGGCAAATCTTAATGTCGAACTCCTCATGATTTACTTGCGTTTGCTTCACAGTGACAAGCGTCGCTTTACGGTGCTCGAAAAGATATACAGTAGGATAGCCTCTAAAGCAAATCATGGATCTCACACAATGAACTGTAAAATGATCACCCCTCATTGCAATTCAGAACGTGATTGAAAATTCTTGAAAGGTTGTGGCAAAAATTTCTAAGAAGGGTATTTGGTATTCAGCCTAGTGGAGAAAAAGTTACGCTTAATTTTATGTTCCTTTTTCGTAGATAATTGTACGTTTAATAGTTCAATACCCATATAAATTGCGTAAACCATTATAAATGAGTACTATATTGTGCTGCAGCTCGCATCGCATGCATGCTGGCCGCGAGTCGAGCTGACATGGGCCGATCAATTCTGTTATCGTGCGATATGCTTTGTAATCAATAATTTATACACACATTCACTTATACATTATACAATAACTTGTACATTAACGAAACTTAAGATTTTAATTCTCGTGTGTTATTCTTTCTCCATTCCTCTATGGTTCATACCTGCGATGAAGTTATACTTTTATTTTCAATGACGCTGACGATGTACTTTTATTGATGACTATAAGGTTCTCATTAAAATGTACCTAAAATATTTTAAAGCGCGTCTAAAAAAAGAAATAACATTCGATCAATAAATGATAATTGTGTCAGAAGAATTCAATACCTGGAGAAAATGATGTTTGCTGTTGTCATTAACATTAATGTCAGATACGTTTTGGACAAAAATAAATATTCTTCACGATTCCATCTTGGTATATTCAGCAAATAATTCTCTAACTCAAGGTTTGAGCTTTGATATTAATTCTCTCGTGTATCAGACAAAAATTAATATTCTCCATCTTTCCGTCTCGATATATTCAGCAAATAAATCTCTATCTCAAGATTTGAGCTTTGATATTAATTCCCTGTGTACCTCTCAGGTACAATCCCTGAGCCTGAGGGTAGCACAGGCCTTCAGAGGGAAGGTGGCTAAGGGTGAAGCTGTGGCGCTGCTCATGGAGAACAGAGTCGAGTACATCGCCATATGGCTTGGGCTCGCCAGGGTCTGTACAATTATTATTACTAATATATTATTACTTAACTAATAATATATTATTATTATAATATAATTATCTGTATAATTATATTATCAGGGTCTGTATAATATTATCAATATTACAATTAATTATTCATATTGATATCTTGTGATCAAGTTTAATTTGATTACTCATTTTCAATGCTTGAAAATATTACTAAGTGTTTAACAGCTTGATGCATTTACATAGTACATCTTTATTCAACCTTGTCTCTGTTAGCTCCCATATTCTCTGTTATCTGTTGCGTCGTGTGTTCACGTATATCGTTGATACATCTCAACTCAACTGATAAAGAAGGCTGTTGGTAAAATGCTCCACTATGAAAAAAAATTATTACCGGTTGCTTGTATGATTGTTCTGTAAACCTAGTACATTGACGTGAACGGCTGTTAAGAACATTAGACGCTAAGAAGGCGTTCAAATGATAATTCAATGCTGGATGAGATCTAAACAAGTTAAAATGCATCAATGATTGTTCATTAGTTAAGCAAATAAAGTAAATAGTATTGTAATAAATAAATAGATAGTATTGTTATTAATCGCAGTTAGGTGCAGTGCCAGCACTGCTGAACAGCAACCTGCGCCACAAGAGTCTCGCGCACTGCATCACCACTGCAGACTGCAAGCTCATCATATGTAGCCACGAACTGCAGGACGGTCAGTTGTATAACCTATTGTCTACGTATACATCTAACCTGCTATTAAATTTAATTGAATCACCTATCCCTTAATACTTAAATCGTATTTGCAGATCCTGTAATAGGGTATATATAAAAGTCCCTCAGTTATATAACCAAATGTTTATTTGGCCTGCTATTAAATTGAATTGAATTACCTATCCCTTAATACTTATCAGATCCTGTAATAAGGGATATTAAAAGTCCCTGCACAATTATAATAATAATTATAATAATCGTAAACAGAGGAGGAATTATTCTTGCCTAAAACGATATGCTATAATCTGAGGAAATACCGTTAGTCGGTTTGGTCGATTCCCATACAAACTGCCTTGAAATTCGAATTATCTCTTTTAATTATTCATAAATTTGAAGACACCCAAATTAAACCCTTACATTAAACAAAAAGTAATTACAACCTTCAATTTTTTAACGTTGCAGCCTGTTATTAATATTTAATTATAAATATATGTATTTTATTTATTATTTATTAGTAATAATAATAATAGTAATAATTAATTATCAATAACAATATGTATAATGATATATTATGAAATAAGATTCAATAATTCAACATAATAATTAAACTGAACGTTATGAAATTCGACCGCAGCCATCGAAGAAGTTCGCAGCGACGTGTCGGCGCTGCCGGTGTACGTGTTCGGGACAAGTCAGGACAGCTCCAAGACACCGTTGCCAGGTACCGCCGTACTATCATTTATAATAGATATTTTTATGAATAGCATAACTATAATAGTTAACATAATACTGTGACTAATGCAAGGCACCCTCTTCTCAAACACTAAACTATCGCAATCATGATAGTTAGAATAATACCGATTGAAATGTGCGTCATCCTGAGCGTACATATACTAAACTATCATAATCATGATAGTTAGCATCATGATACTGTGATAAATGTGGGACATTCTTCTTATTCTTACACTAAACTATCATAATCATGATAGTTAGCATCATAATACTGTGGTAAATGCGGGACAAGCCTTCTTATTCTTACATTAAACTATCATAATCGTTATAGTTAGCATCCTAATGCCGTGGAAAATGCTAGGCATACTGATCGCGCACTTGACCAATATGATCGCCTAAGATTCATAAGAACGACGAATAACATAAATATGTTACGTTGTGACGAATTTTTTTTCGATTTCTGAGCTGCTGTTGTCAGTAAATTTCAAAACTATTCACCATTCATATTAAAAAAAGATGAATTTTAATGCCGTGGGACTGAAATGATTTCAATTCGCAACGCATAAATTTTGCACCAAGAAACGTGCATAAATTTTGCAACCTTTGACAAAATTCAAACTTTATAAAAAACCTTACTTAACATAAACTAAAACAACTTATACATCTTAAATTTAACAAAATTAAAGGAGCTTAAAGTATAAAATATTTTCGGACTGCAGGAAGCAAGGACCTGGACAGTCTCCTGAAGGATGCGCCGGAGGAGGTTCCTCCTGAGCAGTCGAGCGTCAACTTCACGGACAAGATCGTCTACATCTACACGTCCGGCACCACCGGCCTGCCCAAGGCGGCCGTCATCACGCATTCCAGGTACGGCCGCGTGTGAATATTTACATTTAGGCGCGTATGAATATTTTAGAGGCGCGTAGGAATATCGTAGAGGCGCGTAAGATTATCGTAGAGGCGCGTAGGAATATCGTGGAGGTGCGTAGGAATATCGTGGAGGAGCGTATAGAATATCGTGGTGGCGCGTAGGAATATCGTCGAGTTTGGTCCCAAGTGAGTAAAGTCATTCAGTAGGCGAAAAGTTCGATGTCATATCTGAAAGAATATACGATTTAAAAATACTCCAGCATTTCAGGATTGCACAGAACGATCTTCTAATGAATCTGTAAATTCATTAAATCACTAACTTATTAGGAAGTAAAATCAAAGTAGTGGAGGGTTCGCTGGACTTTATATGCTCAATGCATCGCGGGACGCGCAAAATAAGTTGGCAATGGAGTTCATTTGCCGCTGTGTTGGTGAGAAGAATTGCCAGGGAAGTAAATTGCTTTTTAAAAGCCGTTATCCTGCATCATCATTCATTTAGTGTGCGGGTATTGAATCATGATTCGTTACTGGTCTCGCTTCCCGATTTTGATTGAATAATCCATGTTAATCTCTGTTCTATGTTCTGGTCTGATGCTCCGGAATAGACACAGTAAGGGAAATAAGTATTTAGTCAATCACCAATTGTGCAAGTTCTCCCACTTAAAGTGATGAGAGAGGCCTGTTATGATATCATAGGTAGACCTCAACTATGAGAGACAAAATGTGACAAAAAAATTTTAGAAAATCATTTGTCGGACTTTCAAAGATGTTATTTGAAAATGATTGTGGAAAATAAATATTTGGTCACCTACAAACAATCAAGATTTCTAGCTGTCACAGGCCTGTAACTAATTTTTTCAAGAGGCTTCACTTTACCCCATTCATTACCTGTATTAATGGAACCTGTTTGAAGTCGTTAACTGTATAAAAGACACCTGCCCACAACCTCAAACAGTCGCACTCGAAACTTCACAATGTTGAAGACGAAAGAGCTGCCGGAGGACACCAGAAACCGAATTGTAGCCCTGCACACGGCTGGGAAGACTGAATCCGCAAGAGGCAAGAAATCTACCGTGAGAGGAATAATCAGAAAATGGAAGACATACAAGACCACTACTAATCTCCCTCGATTTGGGGCTCCAGTCAAGATCTCAGCGCGTGGGGTCAATACGATCACAAGAACGGTGAGGAAAAATCTCAGAACCACAAGGAGGGATCTGGTGAATGACCTATAGTAAGCTGGGACCAACGTTACAAAGGCTGCCATCAGCAACACGCTACGATGCCAGGGGCTAAGATCTTGCAGTGTTAGACGTGTCCCCATGCTTAAGCTAGTCCATATCGAGGCACGTCTCAAGTTTGCTAGAGAGCATTTGAATGTTCCAGAAGAGTATTGGGAGAATGTCACATGGTCAGACAGAACCAAAGTAGGACTATTTGGTAAAAACACAACTCGTCGTGTTTGGAGGGAAGTGAGTGCAGAGTTTCACCCCAAGAACACCATACCATCTGTGAAGCATGGTGGGTGGCAACATTTAGCTTTGGGGCTGTTTTTATGCAAAGGGACCAGGACGGCTGGTCCGTGTACATGAAGGAATAAATAGGGCCATGTATCGTGAGATTTTGGGTGCAAACCTCCTTCCATCCGCAAGGGCAATGGAGATGAAACGTGGCTGGGTCTTTCAGCATGACAATGATCCCAAGCATGAGATGAACTTTTGTTATTGACCAATTACTTATTTTCCACCATTATTTGCAAATAACATCTTTAAAAGTCCGACAAAATGATTTCTCAACTTTTTTCGCATTTTATCTCTCATAAATGAAGTCTACCTAAGATGTCAATTACAGGCCTCTCTCATCACTTTAAGTGGGAGAACTTGCACAATTGGTGACTGACTAAATACTTATTTTCACCACTGTACATGATCTTTCTCCTGCAACAGAGCTCTATTGATGGCCCCAGCTTCGTATTTAACTTTAATCTTTCTCCTGCAACAGAGCTCTATTGATGGCCCCAGCTTCGTATTTAGCTATGGACTTCCTGGAGACTGACGTGATTTATTCGCCGCTGCCGCTATACCACATGTCAGCTGGTGTGCTCGTGGTCGGCCTTGCTTTGTTCAATGGATGCACGGCGGCGTTAGCGCGGAAATTCTCTGCTTCGAAATACTGGACTGACTGCATCAAATATGATGCCACGGTGCGCTCATCTGACACTCGTCCTTCATTTCACGGCCTGTTGCAGTGGGCATGGAATGATTTCGTTCAGTGCAAGTGATTGTGGCGATCATTGTTGTCGGTGGAAATGTGGTGTTATCCGTATCGTAAATATGACTCGTATGTTTAGGTCATTTGGCACACGCGTGTAAGAATTCAGAAGCATCGCTGCTGCAAGTGCACTGTGGTATCTTGGATTACACCGTCGATTTCATACGCTGCTTTGTGTGTGTGTGTGTGTGTGTGTGTGTGTGAGGTTGCTGTTGTTATTTGTTTTGTGTGTGATGCTACAAATTTCATTTTATTTTGCGGCTTCAGTTGCTGAAAGTTTTTGATGTGTGATATACATTTTCCTTTTTTTTCCTTGCGTGATTTCAATTTTTTTACGTTTATCTTTTTCGTGTTCAAGCGTCACTCAGCGTCTTTTGATTTGTTGTCTCTTTTCCTAAATTCTTCTCACATCTTATTGATTTTGCAGTAAACAAAATTTCCATCTTTGACCGACAGTTCTGTGTGCCACCCGCTGATTCCACGCCATGCATGCAGCCCTTTTTTAAATATTTTGTTATGGTTGACCACATATATTTTCTTGAGTTATCCATGTATTTGAAGCAGCTTTACCATTATCCTTTGCGTGTACATATTAGCTTGCTGTCTCTTTGTAATAATTTATTGTATGCATTTTCGTTATCAACTTGATGTTTTTCGCAATGCTTGATCTGTGTTTTTGGCATTGTATTTTTTTATTTGAATTCACGCATGACACAGCTCTGTGTGATTTCTTTCCTCACCATTGATTTTCCACCTCATTCCGCATATCTATTTAATTTATTATCAGTTCTCTTGAATTTAGTTGATTGAATCCGCTTCCATTAGGCCTCGACGGTCTAATCTTCGTCATCGTAGCTACATTGCAAGGCTTCGGTTATCTCGGCTCTTGAAGAAGCCGATGACACGTTGACTTGTGTGTTCAAGACGAAACCCCTTCTGAATTCTGAATAGGGGATTAAAAGCAGCTGGTAATCAGCTTTAAATTTCGCTAATCGGCTTTCAATTTCGTTAATCGACTCTCAATATCGCTAATCATCCACTGTTTGATCTTGGTGCATTAATGCTCTACGATAATAATGCGCGCAAAAGAAAATTTGTTTCACATCGAGTAGTCGCGGGAATAGAACAGTGACGATCACCGCATGACGGTGACTAATAACCTAAAGTCTGTCAATTGATACTTTTTATGTCGATGATTCTGCGGCTATAGTGAGAAACACGTGCAGCTGTGAGTTCGTTCCCGTTATGTTATGTTATTGTTCTCTCTCCTCCTTACAATCACCGGAAGATTGTAATCACGGCTCCCACGTTCGGTTCTGTATCAGAAAGCGGCGAAGTCTTGGTGAATCAAAGAGATCATGCGAATGTTTCCGCTCAATCTTTAGGTCATCGGTGCGTCGCCTTAATAAATTTGCTTCCTTTTGTGCTGCGAGCCTAAAGACGGGAGACTTACAGGTACCAATACCTAGTACATATGGGAGACTTACAGGTACATAAAGGCAGGAGACTTGCAGGTACCTACATATAAGATACTTACAGGTGCCTAAAAACAAGACGTACAGGTACTGTAATGTACATGTACCTGAAGACAGGAGACGTACATGTACTGCAATTTTCCTGAAGAAAGAAGACGTACAGGTACTGTAAATATACATATACCTAAAGAAAGAAGACGTACAGGTACTTGTTCGCTGCCGTTGGCATGCTGTGCATGGTGGGGATCACGCCTGACGACACGCTGTACGAGCCGCTGCCCCTGTACCACACGGCGGGCGGCAACATCGGCGTGGGCATGACCATCTCGGACGGCGTCACCGTCGCTATTAAGAAGAAGTTCTCAGTGCGCACCTACTTCCCTGACTGCGAACGTTACGGCTGTACGGTCAGTGATGCTCTCTCTAAACAATATCTTGCTGAGGCCGTACTATCGGAAATGGGTTAAAGTTTGTTATTCCGTAAGCAAATCAGTGGCGGATTTTCAAGCTAAACCCAGCATTCACTGACCAGATATTTGTAGCTACGTGAACTTAGGTCTCTATTTGTACCGATGCCGCTATGTATATTTAGGCCTTTATTTGTACTGATGCCACTACGTGTGCGTATGCATCTATTTGTACTAATGTAGCTACGTGTACTTAGGCCTTTTTTGCACTGATGCCACTACGTGTACTTAGGCCTTCATTTGTACTGATGCCGCTAAGTGTACTTGAGTGAGTTTTGATAGTACGGCCTCTTTGCTAAACTTTCCTTTGGTAAAACTGGTGATTCCCATTTTCATTTATAGAGGGCAGTTCTAATTTCACTCTAAGATCTCGGTGAAAAATAATGATTTTCTAATACGTTGCATACTAACTACATCCTAAAGGAACTTGGTCTATTTTTGGACACACTTTATGTGTGGCAGCGACTGAGTATCTTGGTGACGCATTTACCATTGAACAATTAAATTAAAATAATCCATTTATCATCGACAATATTGCCTACATGATACAAGTAATGTTTACCTACAAGACTGATATTTATACATTCGTTCAATCCCTATACAAATGCTACATATGCTAGTTGCTTGCTTCTGCACCAAAAAAAAGTTATAATCATTGTTCCCTGTATTTTTAGATGTAGGAAATCGACTGAAGGGAAATTCAAAGAATTTTTATTTGCTTTCTCAAATATATTATTCGCTAACACTATATCCGCTTGAGAGCCAAATTCAGCCTCTGAAATTGTTGTTGTATATTCAGCCTCTGATTATATTATTATTATTATATAAAAATTCAGCCTCTGATGTTTGATTATTTTTAAGCTAAGAGGCAGTTTAAAGAATGCTATGAGTTGACTGTCGGGATGGTGCATTTCGTGCTCATGCTGACATTCAGTTGTGTTGACTTTCATTCTGCATATAGTGTTGATTTGCAGTCAATATATAAACGTTGATTTTTCATATCGCTGTTATATTGATTTTCTTGGATGTCTGCAAACTAGGCTGGCTTCGGCCTTGCAAGGGTGCCAGTCGTAGATGGGAATAGTGAATCCTACTCTGATAATTTATTAAATATCTGCCTGAGAATATGAAAGCAGTTATTTTCTTTGAAAATTTAGAAAATACTGCTTTTAAATTCATTTGGTAATTTAGAAAATAACAGCAATCAACTTTCAACGTTATTAACTTTGGACGCTATTAACATTTTCAAATAAAATTCATCGCAGCTTCTTATTTTTTGAAATTTTATTCATTATATAGACTGTTTTACTTTTTTCCATGCTTCCTTCACATGTTCATTGTTTCCTATTGTACCTGCGTTTGAATATATGTAGATGTATGTATGCCTGTGATCTGTTCCCACAATATTCTATTTGTTGGCTGTATTGCAGCTTTGCATATTTCACAGCATTGCTTTCACTAGCCTAATGCAAAGTATATTGGTGGCTATCGTGTTTTTTATGCATCATTTACGTTCGTAAGTGATTGTTTTTTATGTGGAGGTTTTGATTTTGCTTACAAACTAACTTTCCTAATGGCTTGTCGCTGCTCAATTCTGTTAACTAAAATGCTGTTAACTTCGTGCATGAAAAAGCTGGGGGCAAAGAGAATTCCAGTTAAAAATCGAGTATGAAGAAATATTCTTTTCAAATGCATTGATTTATTGAAATTCGCTCTTGCAGTCCAGATAAAGTTCACGAAGGCAAAGTTTGTGGTACGAAGCTCTGGTCAAAATATCACTAATAAATTAACTGAAGCTCGCATAACACAGCAAATCTTTCAACCCTTTTGCCATTTGGCGTCGTACTTGGTAAAATATTGATATAGGAGTCCTTGGAAAAACAGTTGGCCCCTAATTTTTCATGTTCTGTAATCGATCTTGTGCGTCATTTCAGTGGCTCAGTACGCCCAAATGTTTCGTATCTACTGAAGTAGGTATCTATATACACTTGAATACACTTCCGAGTTGATTCAGTACGCCATAATGTTAGTATCAACTGAAGTATCTACACTTGAATACACTTCTGAGTTGACTAAATGAACGAAACACTGCCACCTACTTGCTGTATCTCTCTATGAAGTACCGTATAACCTCTTACATTTACAACACATTAGTAACGTAACGTCACTTCTTCTATTTATAACACGTTAGTAACGTAACGTCACTTCTTATATTTACAACATATTAGTAACGTAACGTCACTTCTGTTACAACGACAATTGTTGGTCGCGGTCATCTGAGTGCCTGGATTGTGTGGAAATGTGCTGGCTGTATGTTATTTATTCTTATTTATTATATATTATTATATTTTTGATTTAACATTAACGATTCGTTGGGCGAGTTGAAGATAGTGCTAGCAATTTTTCTTAGATATCATTAATTTCTTTAGTGGGTGTTATACTATTTTCATGTTAGTAATAATGTCACTTGTTTGCTTTAATCGCAAATTCACTAAAAACTTAAAAGCAAATAAAACTCCACAAAAATTCATAGTATCTTTAAAGAAAACGTTTCGGAGTGCAGCTCCATCGTCAGTTCGAAAATTCTAGAACACAGATAAATCAGTAATTAGTACAGTCATGATTGCAACAAAAAACCTAAGCTGTAAAACCTATCTATTTACAATTTCAAGCGGGTAAGAGCTAAAAGCTAAATTCAAACTAGGCCTCTGTTTAAAAATATACAATGATTCTAAAATGGCAAATCAGAAACACCGGAACTGGAAGCTAAAACTTTGAAGTCATTGTCAGAAACTGGAACATCGCAGTGCTCGGCGTGAACCCGCACAGCTGAATGAGGGGGGCGCGACAGTAAGTTACCAGTTCTACAACTCCTGCCCTTATGTTCTGCGACCCTAGAATAAAGATTGCGAGACGTCATCCCGACGTACGCAGATGCACATCGTGCACAACTATATTCATAAACTAGGGACGCTCGCATATGCATAGGGAGAGTATCTTTGTACATAAAAAAAAGAACCGATTTTAAAATGGTTGACCAATATAACACGTAGGTTAACATTTGCGAAATACTTAGAAAACAGAAGTTTTAGCTCCCTTGACATAGTTTGGGATGCAGGGCCGAAATATGGAAGAGAGAAATAAACAACATCCCTACTGTCGCGCTCGGGGGCAACCTCATTGTACCGCTTGGACATGAATTTCTTTATTTGGGTAATCACCAGATTAGTCGGAAATCCATTAAGCGAAAAAATATTGCGTAAAAATTCGAATTCAGCGTTCAGAATATTGTGAGTAGAACAAATTCGAAAGCCCCGATGTAAAAGTGTTTGAATCCCATTAATCTTAAATCGAAAGGAGCAAAAGCTAAAAAAGCTGGTACTGAGACCTGTGAAAGTCAATTTTCGGAATACAGAAGTTTGAAAACGGCCATTAGATTTAGTAATATTGCAATCGAGGAAGGATAGGCTATTGTTAGATTCCAGTTCCATGGTAAATTTGATGGATTTTTGCTGCGAATTTAGGTAATCGAAAAAGAGTTTAACATGAGAAGGATGCTTAAAAAGTAAAAAAGTGTCATCAACGTATCTGTTGTAGAATATTGGCTTAAAATCAAGAGGGCAATTGGACAGCCAGGACACCTCGTGAAAACACATAAAAATATTCGCAAAGGTTGGGCCGAGTGGAAGACCCATACCCAAATCGTCAATCTGTCGGTAAAGCTTGTTAGCAAATATGAAAAAATAGTTTAAAACAGATAATTCCAAAAGAGATTTAAACAAATTACGTTTCAAACCAATAACGAGATCATTTACATCCTTAAACAAAGAATTCAGGCATATATCTATGGTTTCATGAAGAGGCACATTAGTAAATAACAAAGATACTATGAATTTTTGTGGAGTTTTCTTTGCTTTTAAGTTTTTAGTATTTTCATGTTATCCAAAATCTTACTAATATTGATTGTTTTATCGAGAAATTTTTCGCATTTTTCTATTTTTACAAATATAATTTTTGTTTCCGAGTATATAGATGATTGAAACATTTCTAGTCTCACTATTGAACGCATGATCGAATCCTAGTCATGCATGAAGACGTTATACGAATATAAATATATTGAGGTAACCATGAATATTTGGTATGAATAATATTGTGAGGTGTGGCGGCATGGGCAGGTTGCCCAATACATCGGAGAAATCTGCCGGTATCTTCTGAACAGCCCGCCTTCCCCTGCTGACAAGCAGCACAAGGTGAGTTGTGACTCTTTCTTTATGTAAAGAACATTTTGTTTTGTGCTTATTCCGTTTACTTTATTGTTTACTATCAGATTTGGTCTTAGAAATTCATCATTTATTTCATGATGATATATTTCATAATCATACAGCTTTTCTCTTATTGTGGTTCGTTTACTGTGCACTATCAGATTTGGTCTTAGAAATTCAGCATTTGTTTTATAATCATCCATCTTTTCTCTGGTTCGTTTTCTGTGCATTATAAGATTTTTTCATAAAATTTCTGCATTCTGATAAGAGTTATATTGAAAATATAAATAAGAAAATTATCAACAGAAAATAAAATTTTCTCTTGAAAATAGAACTTCCCCAATCTTTAACTCGCTATCTGTGCACAATTACTACCAACTTGTAATAGTAGCGCTACGGAAAACTCGGAGCTTTGAAATATTGTATAATGTACCGTAGTCAGTAGTCGAGAATTATAATTCATACCTACTTTATTAACCTTATTTTCAGAGGTTGAATGTGATTAACAAACCTTACAAATAACATTGACGACAGTTAATGTAGCCGTAGAAAATGATTGATGTCGGTTAATATGTCGAAAAGCGATGGTTAAGATTGCTTAATCTATCCATTAAAATAAAATTGACAAACATGGCGACACCAAAGTTAGCTGTAAACGGTCAATCATTTTGATCCGAAGCTTGAGCCAAACGATTGTCTAATTTGTGATTGACCGCATTGGAACCTGTTTGACGCTTGAAGCGATGCTTGCTTGTGATTGATAAAAAATTTTATTGATAGAAATATCACATTTTTTTAGGAAATGCCAGGCCAAGTCCGTATTTGAAACCATTATGTGCGTGATGATGTTGATGATGATGCTGACGAGTGTGCGTGTTGCGTACAGTTGCGCGTGGTGTTCGGCAACGGACTGCGGCCACAGATCTGGCAGCAGTTCCAGGACCGCTTCGCCATCCCGCGCGTGGCTGAGTTCTACGGCTCTACTGAAGGCAATGCCAACATAGGTGAGCCATGCGCCTGTTGCCTCCTACGGCTCTACTGAAGGCAATATGCCAACATAGGTGAGCCATGCGCCTGTTGCCTCCTACGGCTCTACTGAAGGCAATATGCCAACATAGGCCAACTGAAGGCATAGGCCGCGCTCATGCCATTTTTTCATTGTCTCGCTGATGTTAAATGTATGCTGACTTATTGGTACGACGTCTCACAAGCTTGTTCAAGAGAGATGTGCCAAGCTTTAAGCTGGAGAATATAACCTTCAGCTTCTTAAGGGTTATAGTCTCAGTGGTGAAGATTAATTATCAGTTCAATTATAGTTGAAATGCATTAAGGTGAGTAAGAATATATTGGTGAGTATAAGAATATATACTCCCTTGTTCGTAGCCATGTTGGAGCTTCCTTTGAATGAAATTATTTTTTACGGTACGGCTACATGCGCATGCTTCATGCACTAGCTTTCCATTGATCTCAGGGCATTATTCCACATCCATGAATATTATAGCCTATAATTTCTTGTGGCTAATTGTTAACTTAGATACTCGGTATATAAAAAATTCGCTAAGTATTATATAATAAAAAAGCTAAGTATTAGTTAAATATTACGCGATTCTGGCCGCGCAGAAAATCGTTTTAATTTTATGTATTTTCATGTTTCCCCAATCTAAATAATTTATTTACCGACGAAACCCAAATTTCAACTTTTTTCAATTCTTTGCAGTATGTGTGAAAAAGAGCGCTAATGCTTTCATTTCTTTCATCATCTGACCTATAAAGAACGATGACAAAAGTAACATGTGATGTCGTGTGTGGCAGTTAATATGGACGGGCGTGTGGGGGCCGTGGGCTTCCTGTCAGTGCTGCTGCCCTCGGTGTACCCGTGCGCCCTCATCAAGGTGGACCCTGAGACCGGCGCCCCTCTCAGGGACAGACACGGCGTCTGCCTCAGGTGTAAGCCAGGTCAGAGAGACTTGTCTGCGCTCATTATACAGATACTAATTTATAACCCCTAGAAAATTCAAAATATCGATATCGATTCAATATCGAGATTGTGAATTTTCTTGGCGTTTTCTTTGCTTTTAAATTCCTTGTGAACTTGCGTTATAAGCAGAGTAATAATATAAGTACTGATTTATGTAATATTAATTAGAGATAGTAATTTCTGTAATAATTAATAGAAATATTAATTGCTGTAATAATTAATAGAGATACTAATTGCTGTAATAATTATTAGAGATACCAATTTCTCTAGTATTAAATAGAAAAACTAATTTCTCTAATATTAAATAGAAAAACTAATTTCTGTAATATCAAATAGAAATAATACTTTCTGTAATATTAAATTGAAAAACTAATTTCTGTTATATTATCAACTTTGGTGCTCATCTTTGGTAATAGAAAGAAATTTTTGAGTGAAAAGAGACAGAACACAAGACCTGTGTGCACGGCGCGTTCATTTAACTAGCGGTTTCTTCTTAAAAGTAATGAGCACTGCTTACCGAAAACCTGTTAATTAAATCTGTAACAGTTTCATAATTAATATTAATAGTTTGATTGTTATTCGTAATTCTATTCAATGGCAGGTTAAAATTTCAGGCACGTAAACACGGCCTGAAACTTACCAGACGAGACAGGTTACATTTGTTCGTCTTCATAAGAATTTTAATATGGAATTCTAACGCAAATTCGCGAAAAGCCCGATTTAATCAAGAATAAGAGATGTGGTGGTCGGTGATTAATGTGGTGGTTCTTGATCAAAATATTCCAATGGAGTTTCTGAATATGATTTCTTATATCAGGAGAGCCAGGGGAGTTCGTTGGCTAGATCATCAATACATTTTCTGATTAAAATACTTCAATTGAGCTTCTAAATACATTTTTTATATCAGGAGAGCCAGGGGTGTTCGTTGGCAAGATTTAATGCCTTATACCAGTAGCATTCTATTGGGCATTAAGTAGAATTCTACTGGGCAAGAAATTCTACTGGGCATTGCCTTCAGTAGAGCCGTAGGAAACGAAACTTTAATAATTGAGTTAGTAGTGCACGCGTGGTATAATTCACTCGAATTGTGACAAGTAAAAGGTAGCTATACTGATAATTAACTGAAAAATAAAGTTCGGCTATTTTTTTCACCACTATATCGTCTTGAATCCAATTTGGGAACGCATGAATGATTTATACCCCTTTACCCATTGCATTCACTCTATGATACTGATAATTTTCTATTTTGAAATAATTTTTTTTTCTTAAACGCTCTGTAGCTTTTGTTTGGTTTCGATGGATAATATATAACGCTATTCGTCTCAGTCAAACAATATTTCGCGTGCGCAACATGTACTTAATGAAACTATAACGTAAATAATTCCGTGTATGGCTTAATGTCTGCTCTTGTTGTTGTAAAAACAAATTGCATGACTGGCTTTTCTAATGAATTTTTAAATGGTTTGATTTCCTTTGACTGTACAGGAGATCTACCGGCCATGTTAAAAAAATCTCGTGACTGATATTTCTGTCGAATATTTAAATGGGGGGTGTAATTTATTTTAACTGCACAGGAGACCTGCCGGTGATATTAACTAGTCTCATGACTGTTTTTTTATCGCATGTCTACTATAAATGAAGGTTTAATTTCAATATAATTTATGTGCGCAGGAGACCTGCTGGTGATGGACGACGAAGGGTACCTGTACTTCAAGGACCGCACGGGCGACACCTTCAGGTGGAAGGGCGAGAACGTGAGCACCGCTGAGGTGGAGAACCACCTCTCTGCCCTCGTCAGGAGCAGCGACCTCTGCGTCTACGGCGTCCAAGTACGCACTGCTGTCTGCATTTGTTTCTTGACCGCAGGATTTGAGTGTGGATGACATTTTTTTTATGAGGAAAATGTGTTTATTCCCTTAAAAGTGTAAAAATTCTTACGTTACTGTTAAAATAAATATACTCCTGACTAGTATAGCTCCCTGACTCTACCTACCCTGACTTTCTATTTCTTGACTCTGACCTTCCTCCTGCCTCCTCTAACCCCCCATTCCCTGACCTATGCCCATTCCTGATCTCCCCAGCCTCCCCTAACCCCCTGTCGCCCCCCACAGATCCCCCAGACGGAGGGCAGGGCGGGCATGGCGGCGGTGGTGGACGTGGACGGGTCGCTGGACGTGCAGGAGGTGGCCAGGGGCGTGACGGCTCTGCTGCCTGCCTACGCGCGCCCGCTGCTACTTAGGACCGTCAAGCATATGGAGATGACCGGTATAATATGTCTTATATATAAAACTATAATATATCTTGTATATAACACCTATAATAGGTATATCTTATATACATGTACGATAATATCAGTATAATATATCTAATATGCATATACGATAAAATCAGTGTAATATATCTAATATGCATAGACGATAATATCAGTATAATATATCTAATGTACATGTACGATTATATCAGTATAATATATCTAATGTGCATATACGATTATATCAGTATAATATATCTAATGTGCATATACGAGGATATCAGTATAATATATCTAATATGCATATGCGATAATACCAGAATAATATATTTAATGATGTAAAGAAATAAGACTACTTGTAAGTCCTCAAAAACGTAGTGTTAAGTCTATCTAATAATATAGATAAATAAACCCAGGTCCACTTACTAATATTTGTAAATAAAGGTCATTAACTTCTGCACATATAGAGAACGTTAGGTCTATCAAAAAATATACGTAAAAAAAATCTAGTATAAATGTTTCCAAACTTCGCGCGTATTTGAATTTTGCCTCCATAAATATCCAATACATTCTTCACTAATGTTTAGTGGTGGATTGAAGGACTCAATGCCTTCAATATTTCTTCCGTAAGACAAATTATTATTATCATTATAATTACATTATTAGTCACATTATTTGCTTCAAAGGTTCTTGTTCCAAATTTAAATTGTAGTGAACTCACATAAACGATGATTACACTAATACGTTTTGTGCAGGTACATACAAATTACGGAAGACCGAGCTGCAAAAAGAAGGCTTCGACATCACCGTCATCAAGGACCCGGTCTACATCCTCGACCCCAAATCCGTCACATACAAGCGTCTGGATGAGCGGCTCTATGAACAGCTCATGTCGGGCGCTCTCAAGGTCTAGTTATTGGGTTAGAAGTCTCAAGGTCTGGCGTCAAGGCATCAAGGTCTGGCGTCAAGGTCTATGTGAGCATCGAGGTCTTGGCGTCAAGTTCTATGTAGGCATCGAGGTCTCGGCGTCAACGTCTATGTAGGCATCGAGGTCTTGGCGTCAAGTTCTATGTAGGCATCGAGGTCTCGGCGTCAACGTCTATGTAGGCATCGAGGTCTTGGCGTCAAGGTCTATGTAGGCATCGAGGTCTCGGCGTCAAGGTCTATGTAGGCATCGAGGTCTCGGCGTTAAGGTCTATGTAGGCATCGAGGTCTCAGTGTCAAGGTCTATGTAGGCATCGAGGTCTCGGCGTCAAGGTCTATGTAGGCATCGAGGTCTCGGCGTTAAGGTCTATGTAGGCATCGAGGTCTCGGTGTCAAGGTCTATGTAGGCATCGATGTCTAAGTGTCAAGGTCCAAAAGCCATGGTCGTTGTGTCAATGTTGTAAGTCTCAAGGTCTATAAGGAAAGAGATCTAGATAGGTATCAAGGTCCTTGTGTATGGTCTTGGCGTCAAGATTTAGGTGTCGAGGTGTTGGTCGGAACAGCTTTGAGAGCGAATAGATGTCTAGCTCGACCTTCATTATTTTAAGCATTGTGGCATATGGCGATTAATTTTTAAAGCATTCAGCCAGTTACTTTTGAAGATAATTATAAATATGATAGTACGATGTCATCGACAGATGTGCGTGTATCTTCACGAAATGAGCATTTCTTGAAATAAAAAGTAAATAAATGGAAAATTTTAACCATCTCTGAAAAAAAGGTCTTAACTGCCCCGTTTTTATAGGAATAAATGTCAGTTGCGACTCCAACTTCTGCCATTTTTAACTGCGCTTATGTTTCAATGCGCGGCTGTGATGATTGTCATTTCAAATATGTATTGTTCTGTTGAATTATCTGTACTACTTACTTCAATAATGTTCTGATTGAGGATTGTTCTTTGCTCCCACTTGTTGGGGTGGTGCAATGAAACCAATCAAATGGTCACATATTTGAGCGATTTCTAATTGTTAAAATAAATTTATTTCCTTCGATTTAGGAATTTTAGCTATGGATTTTATATTCCGAGATTTTAATTTACAAAAAAGTTTGAAGAATTGTTGATAAGTTCAATTCGTGATGGCGCGTAACCAGAATTTAGTTGAGTTGTGTAAGATTTTGCTCCTTCTGTCAAGATCCTCTGATTAAAGCTGTACTCTTGTATGGATTGCTATAAATTCCTAGGTTGAGTCCTCGTGTATGATTTTTTGGCCAGATCATAATCCTTGCATAATTATTTATTGCATATACTCATTTGTATAGAGAATACATACTTTATTTTTTGAACTTTATACTTTTTTTCTATTATTATTACATCAGTAGGCGTTGCTGGACCCGCCAGCGGTCTGGAGTCCGATAAACTCTGCGGGCTGGAGTCCGATAAACTCAGTGGGCTGAAGTCCGATAAACTCAGCGGGCTGAAGTCCGATAAACTCAGCGGGCTGGTGTCCGATAGACGCAGCGGGCTGGTGTCCGATAGACGCAGCGGGCTGGTGTCGCAAGCATTGTTGTGTTGGTAGACGACGCGTGTTGTAGTCTTAAGACATAGTGTGTAGACTCAGCGTGCGTCCAAAGCTGTAGTTATTCCTATAGTTTATCTCCTTCTAGTAATTAATTGTGGGGTCCTAAGTTGCTCATTCCTGCCATCTTGCAATGCGCCATAAAATATTTACTGTAGCTATGAGAAGAATCTGCTCTCAGTCTTCAGATAATATCTACTAAGAATTACATTCTTTATTTTCTCTCGCTGCTTTAGTGTTGAACGAACTGTGATGATTAAAAATTAATTCATGGGATAAATTAGAAATTATGCTGCGATTTTCCAGATTCACTACAATTTCTCAAATGAAAGTTTTTCTTGAAAGCTCAATTCGAATGCTGTGAGAATATAACATTTACCTCAAGTCAACCTGTAGGTGATTGAAGATACATAATTTTTGCCCTTGTATATGTCGGAGTTGTTATAGAATAATAAGGTTATATATGGGATATCCCTGATGAGTTTGACCGTAGCTGAGAGGAATTTTCTTGGCTTCTGCTGTAAGGGAGATGAGTTAAGCTTGAAGTGAACTTCGATAAAAGGGATGAAGGTTTTTTCTGTTTTGTCGGCTTGACATATAACGGATCATAGAATTCATGTCCCTCCACCAGTTGTCGATGTTGAGCGATTACTCGATTTGCTAGTTAAGGTCTTGGACATTTTTCATGTTTTCGACGAGTTGAAACTTCGTGCGTCGTGCAGGACTGAGGCTGGTTTCTGCTTGTTGTATTGGCTCCTCCTCAGTGTCGGCCTCGAAATTTTTTAACTTTCTTCGTTATATGGGAATTCTCTAATTTATGACACCATAATTGCTAATAAAAACGATGATTTGTACTAATTTTTAATTTAAATTTATTTTCATTTGAATAGAAATATACTGGCTCTTTAATTTTATTGTAGCGTAAATTTGAGTAAAGTCATCACCCTCTAATCCATCGACTGCATTTATATTTTTTTAATGCGAATAATAAATTTAAATAAAGATATCAACCTTTTGGATTTTAGGTCATTCAATTGGTAAAGTCGAACTAGGCTTGTCTTCTCGCTTTCGTGTGAGGGTTTCGTCTAGTGGGTGTTGCTCAGACACATAGTCCGGTCGTAGTTTATTTTTTCCGTCTTATGCGTAGCCTTGAAATAAATATTTCGTTATGTTTAAATAAGCTTGCGCACGTAGTATCCCTTTATGTTCATATGTGCCTTCGTTGCCTAGTCAGACGCTGCACTGGAATCATTCATTTGTCCTACAATTCTTTAATTTGTTCAATGCCTGTAAAGTTATGCTTCACTTCTTCTAAAGCTAGCAGTTTTCACAGTCTTTTTTAAAGCATTTTGTCTATTGACTATATGCATCTTTCCAGCATTACTCGCCTCTCGCATTGGTTAAGAAGAATCTAATGGAAGAGTAAAATTCCCGTCATCGGCATGTACCAGAAACAGTGAGCAAAATTTGATGTGAAATTAAGCCACCGACTCGGCTGTCTTGATCCTTTGTCTGTTTGTGTGTGTGTGTGTGTGTGTGTGTGTGTGTGTGTGTGTGTGTGTGTGTATTTTTTTAGTGTTTGTGTTAATTTTTAGGTTATCGTAGAGTACTTATGTCCTTTGAGTACAAGGCAATTAGTGACCACCTCGTAATACGTAGGCTTTTTCCAACACTGAGGTATGGACTTAACGTTGAATGTATCTATAGGATCTAAGAAAATTACTTTGCATGCCTGAATAATAAGACAAACTTGGTACATTTATGGTGAGTGCTAAGCATTGTTCGGCATTCCTTAATTTCTCTTGAATTGATGAAATGATTTAAAATATACTTGACTTGAGGATGTGTGACTGAAAAGTAACGCTACTGCATAATTAATAGATTAAGTTGCTTTTCGGCTATTTTAGTAACTTGAAATAAATGTAAAATAACTTGGATAAATGTCAGCCACCTGTATAACTATAGCTTCCTATGTGGAAACTTGAGCCCGAGATATGTTATGTTTCCCTAGCTTCTATATTATGTGACATAGATATTTTTGTTGTACAAACTTCAGTTGCAAATGTGATAGTTAAATTGTTTTTAATAAAACTAGAGGCAACGCTTTTTTTATTCTGCTTTATCGTGTTTCAGTATACTGTGGCTTTTTTAATGAAATTCCGAGGAATAATTTTATGAAAGGTTATTACGTTGTATTTCACTATTTTACATTGTCTTTTAAAAATGTATATAAACCCTTAACAGCAATTTTTTATAACTGCTCATTGTCGCCATGTTCTCGTGTATCAATGAAAAATGAGCTTGAAGTCTAAATGGCGGACAATATTATTATTATTGTTACTCTACGAAGCAGTTATCCTGGTGTCTGGTTCAAACGAACCTCGAGGAGACGTTTCACAGAAATTTAATAATAGATAAATATTACCGGACGATACCAAATAAATTGCGATTTATAGGTTCAAGAAAAGAAAAGCTGAAATAGAACTAAACGTTATTGACACCTTATTTGTTGAAATGATTCTGGTAAGCCGTAAACTAGAGACATATCGATATGTATGTGTCAGTCGGCCTGACAGTTTTCATCCATTGCAGCCATTGCACCATAGCCGTTGAAAAATAAATCAGTTCAATTTACAACCAGGTGGCTGATAATTGAAATGATTCAAGTTGATCAAATATTTATTTGAGATCATTTTTTGCTTATTTCTTAGGCTGAGAATCAAGGCTATAGATACGTACTCTTATTAAAAAATTTTTGTCTTCATTTCGTGATCGCTAAAGGGTAAAGCGCTGAAAATTTAAAGCTGCTGGAAGCCCAAATCATGAAGTAAAATTTGTTCGTGTCGATTGATTGATAAGCTATCACAATGTATCGTCGATTTGAACGTGTGTGAAACGCAAATAATAATTGAACACGAATGTGCAGGGAGTTTTGAATTTATTTGATTGCTATCCATGGTTAAACTATGTAGTATATAGTTCAACCATGGGTATACCGGTGCATCTACGATTACATCTTCTGAAATATCGACATATCTTTTTCGTGTTTCTCACTATCAATTTTTAGTTAAGTAGATTGTTCTTTTTAAAATTTTCATGCATCGGCTTCTGAATTTATTTTCTCAATAATCAACAAGAGCATTCACAGATAAATTTTATTCAGCATGCTATTGTCGGTTGAATTGGACAAATGTCGTTTAGCTTCTTCTTGGTAAATCCCAATCAACTGTCTTTTGACTCTTTATACTCTGCGGACGCTTGCCGCGTAGTGTAATAAATGTGCAGCGTATTTTAGTAGGAGAGTATAAGGAGAAGGAGGGCAAGCGTGAGCATTGTTAGGTATAGTAAAATACTGAATTAATACGTAGCCTCTTATTTCAATAAAGTAACCGACAAAATGGGCACGCCCGGTAAGTTGTTTGATGTTACAGCTAAATATAAGGATTATTGTTAATGCATTTAAGAAATTGCCTTAAAAATAAGTTAAATTTACTGCTGCTTCAGCCGTTCACGTTCAGCGGTCAGGCTGAGTCAGCCTGCTTGTAACGTGCAAGATTCATCAGGCTTGTAATAGATCTCGTTCAGTAATTTCATCTAAATGCCTACATCGTAAAGTTGATTTTTTAACAGATTTAATTTAATAATAACTTTAGTATAATATCTTTGGAATAGATTGTAAATTGTAGAATTATAGCATTTATAGGTAGGACACATAGCTACAATTTCATAACTAGGAGGTAGGTAGAAATTTGCTGACTGGACTGTTCAAAAATCTTTCAGTATCTAAGGCTTCTTTAGTTTGTGTGAATTTTTGGAAAAAATGAAAGAGCACATGAAATTATTAGAAAACCGGCATTTTTTTTAAAGGCGATTTGAAAGTCCGATTTGGCGGTACCTAAAGGGTTAATTAAAAAGTTTTAAGTTTTTATTTAAGCTTTTTTTACACACAGCTTGGAATGAGCTGTGTGTCTAATTCCAAGCTGTGTCGGAATTAGTTTTTATGTGTCTAAAACCATCGCTCAACTTGATCATCTATTAATTTATTTACCTACCACTTGAAATCAGTAGGTAGGTAAAAAGTTTATGAATGTTTGTTATAAATTTGCTGACTGGACTGTTCAAAAATCTTTCAGTATCTAAGGCTTCTTCTGTTTGTGTGAATTTTTTGAAAAAATGAAAGAGCACATGAAATTATTAGAAAACCGGCGTTTTTTTTAAAGGTGACTTGAAAGTCCGATTTGGCGTTGATGGGTTAATTAAAAAGTTTTAGTTTTTATTTAAGCTTTTTTTACACACAGCTTGGAATGAGCTGTGTGTCTAATTCCAAGCTGTGTCAGAATTAGTTTTTATGTGTCTAAAACCATCGCTCAACTTGATCATCTATTAATTTATTTACCACTTGAAATCAGCAAATACAAGTATACTTAAAGGATTCCTAATATATTCACAGACTTATTTAAAATTCTCAAACCATAATATTCTTTCTACACAAACAGTTTATCACTATTTGGTAGAGCAAAATCAACTATCAACTTTGACACGCTTCTCGATGTTCTCACTGGGTGACGTGCACTGTCTCTCATTGGATCTTAACATTTTCCCGCCTGACGGCCCAGACCTAGTGTTTTGGCAATAGTATGACATCACTATTTCAACCATCAATGAATGCGTGGAACTAAGACAAAGCTTAATATGAAGGAAAAAGTTAAGAAGTGTTGGAATTTACCCACGATGTCGGAATATACCGCATTTACCCTATTAAGTCCTATAAGTTGACCAGTGAAGTATCCTGGATACCAGCATTATCGTACGCAAGAAATTGGTTGAAATTTTAGGTAAATTAGGAAATTAAAAATGAACTGATTCTAAAAAATCTCTGGGTTGTCACTCTGTAGGTGCAAGCAGCAATATAAATTCAACATATGGATTTATACCCCAAAGCGTCACCAGCCATTTTCAAGATTTGCCGCCGGGTAATTTTAATATGAAAATGCTGCTAACAGCTTTGATAGTATATCCCTTACTCTCCATGCCCTGCAACATGTATAGCTCAGCTGCTATCTAGCAGCCGGACATATGGCGTCATATATTGAGAGCGGCAAAGTATAGGGAGGCTTGACATGATTCTGCCGCCTGGACTGCCAAGAAATGGTGCTGTACTTGTAACAACAAAGTTATCGTGAACCCTACGTCCTAGTAACCATTGATTAGTTCTAGAATTATTATTGTTCTCGTTATTCACTGCATCTACCACTTGCGGTCTTTCAGATTTTCAACTATTTTCTAAATAGTCGGCCGAAGACTGGTGAATATCTAGAATGCAATAATTTCAATCCAAATGTGTCGGCCAGACTTCTGAAGGCGTGAATGCTGCTGATGACTGATGAGTTGCAAAAGATCTTGCGATATTCACCCACTTTCTGCACATTGGAATTAGTTTTTCTATACATTTGGAATATTATTTCCATTGAAATTATTAACTTTTGTCAATTTGATAGGAGTTGATTTATGTGAAAGGAATCCTGTGATTCCAAAAATAGTAGGACAGCTCTAGTTGTGGCTCAAAAAGTAGACATATTCCAGGCCATCTCTGCAAGCTTAGGAGAATAATTTTTGAGTTGAAACCGCATTTGCTATGTCATGACTGGAAGAATGGGCAGAAGCCACCTGTGAATTGGATAAAAACAGTGAATCTAGCCTATTTAAACTGTTTTCCTAATCTCTCTGACACAAAATGAGAATAATGGCTTATTTTAAATTATAATGTAACAAATCTTTAATTTCTGGCAGAATTCAACATCAATATTGATGATAATAACCAATGTTATCAATATCAAAAGTCCTATAAATTGTATGAAAACACTAGTATCACTTAAAACTATAATCACTTACCAAACATAATATTATTAAACAAACATGACTATTGAAACATAAATAAGATTTATTATGATAAATTCTCCATTATGGATTTCACCTTGTGCTGTACACTCAAAAATTTGAATTTAATTTCTGCAATAAATTATTTCATGTCAGTTTCTTAAGATAATTTCCTAAGCAAGAATTGTGTGTAACCAAATTAAAGATGATTTAAACTCTACAAAACTTTGATTTCTTGAATGGCAGTCTCTTCATCATTTAATTAAAATCATTGATTCCCATAGCCATACATGACAATTTTTTTTAAACCTCAACTACCAATTTAAGTCAATTGATAAGCCAATCAATTCATTATCTGGGGATATAATTTTTCACAACATTTTGAATCATTTTATGGGCAGTTATGGCTATTGCATTTGTTAGCATTTGCATCACTGGTGTGAGAATTTTTATTGTATTGCTGTTTTGAAATACATTATGTGGACATCATTATGTGAACATTTTTATAATGATGTTGCTTTGGAATACATTTATTTATACCTATGCCTGTGTCACTTGCAAATTTGAAACTTTCTTTAGAGTTCATTGAATTTTTATTAATCCCATTTATATTTTTCAGGATTTTCTCCAAGAGGTTTTGGTGGTGGAAGAGGCCGCGGTGGTGATCGTGGTGGTGGTGGTGGCTTCCGTGGTCGTGGCGGATTTGGGGACAGAGGTGGTCGCGGTGGGGGTCGTGGTGGTGACCGTGGTGGATTTGGTGGTGACCGTGGAGGCCGTGGTCGAGGTGGCGGCAGAGGAGGTGGATTTGGCGGCCGTGGCCGTGGACGCGGGGGCGGAGGACGTGGTAAGATCTGATTATTTCCATGTGTACAAATGAAAGCAGTTGCTGAGTATTGAAAGCCATCCCTACAGTGCATTAATTATTGTGATTTTTTGGCTTTTAAACAAAATTCAATCTGTTTTCATATATCAATGTAGATGGTACAAATGGTGTGATATATTGTATATAATTACCATATTGCTTTCATAAATATCTACAATCTAGTGGCTGGGGCAGGTTGTTTTTCATTTGGCTGTATCCAGATGTGTGTTATGCTTCTTATTTGTCTTGAAAATTTTCTAACATTTTTGTTTACTTTGGGATATATCCAAGACTTCTGTCAGCATTTTCTGTTAAGAAAGCCTATTAGAGGTATTCCATTGAACCTGATATTCCGCTGCATTATCCATTGTGCCACATTTTTTTTCATTCAGGATTTTGTCAAAAGTAAAAGTAATTTTTGCAGTTTTACTATAATATTTGTCTAATTATGTATAAAATATATCTTTGTTAAAGGAGGTGGCAAGGCAATGCTGGAGCCTCATCGTCACGAAGGAATTTACATTGCCAGAGGCAAGGAGGATGTCCTGGTCACCCGCAACATGGTGCCTGGCGAGAGCGTCTACGGAGAGAAAAGAATGGAGATTGAGGTAGAGGGATGATCTCTAACCGCATGATATTACTATAGAAACCTGCTAAATTGCCAATAATATAAAATCTTGGCCAATTTCTATCTAACAGATTCCAATAAATGTACATGCATTGTATAAATTTCAATCAAGCTCCACCAAATTGTGGTGATTTTTAGGTTATTTTTCAATTAGGAAACAATTTTCATTCAATTGCTACAATTTCTGGATAGAGCAATTGTTAGAATTATTTCTCTGTTCCTAACCAGTAATAAATGTGTACAGGAAAGCTATTTTACAGTTGAGAACAACTTTTTTTTACAGCAGATGGATTTTAACAACCTTCATCTACTTACCAGACCAATCACGAGGCAATCATTCGGAAAACTATTCAAAGTACATATTTTCTGAAGTGTAAAACTTTTCTTTATCCGCATATCTTTCACCCCGTAGGACAGAGAATCCGGCAACAAGGTGGAGTACAGAGTCTGGAATCCCTTCAGATCTAAGCTCGCCGCCAGCGTGGTGGGTGGCGTAGACAGCATACACATGCCCAAGGGCTCCAAAGTTCTTTATTTGGGTGCTGCCAATGGCACGACAGTTTCACATGTTTCTGACATCGTCGGAGAGGTAAGTCAATTAAGTTTACTTGTCTTGCATGCTAAATGTTAGGTATCTTTCATCTGCTTCTAGTGATTCTTATGTGAAATACTGCTTTTATTGGAAAAATCTCGTGTGAACCATAGCTAGACCAAACATATTTCCAATACTTGCACGAACACAAATTCAACTAAATGAAAGTTAAAACAAGCGCAATGGTATCATTCATTGTCTGTGTATTTGGTTACATAGGAATCTCCACTAGACATTTCCATTTATAAAGAGTCTTTTTTTCAGGAGGGAGCGGTGTATGCCGTAGAGTTCTCCGCGCGATCTGGTCGTGATCTTGTCAATATGGCTAAAAAGAGGCCCAACATCATACCCATTGTGGAAGATGCGCGTCATCCCCTAAAATACAGGTAACGTTTAAGAATTATAAATATCCTAGTAAAAGCAATGCTATAAGTTCTGCCAATGGCAATTTCTTCCTTACTGTTGAAAGGATGAACAAAAATAGAAAATTCAGTTGAGCCTGATGGTTTCGTATAAATATGTAAACTATTTTTAAAACTTTGAAAAAAATTCACCATCCATACGTATCCAGTGAGTAGATGTGGAGGCAGAAAGCCGCTTGTCTATCGTTTTTTACTTAAGAATTGCGAAGTTTAACATTAATTATTTTCATGAAGTGAGTTTTTTAATTTTTGACGGATACAAATAACGAATTGCCAACAAATTGAGGACAGACTAAGAAATTAATGACTGTAGTTTGATATGGCAACTAACACTTCATAAAATTATTCAATTTTTTTCGTTTTCGTTGACTAACACTGAGCTTTTCCTTCACCCAATTATTTTGCCTAATTCAATATTCGTTTAAAATTCAATTATTTTCAACGCGTACTGTTCAGGAACTAATTAAATGATAAGTAAGACTGATCGCCATCGTCTTCTAACATCTCCCGCCTTCAACAGGATGATGGTGCCAATGGTGGATACCATTTTTGCTGACGTTGCTCAGCCTGATCAGGCAAGAATCGTTGCCCTGAACGCCCAGTATTTCCTCAAACAAGGCAAGTACTGGCTGCGTGTGTATCATTCGTGCTACAAGCTATTTGATATTCTTCTATTGACGATTTCCGATCTAAATCTGACGTCGGTTGGTCCAAATTACTTTCGCGCGAAATTAGCTCATGAAAATTTGTCTTGAAAGTGGTGCTATAAACTTTTTTTTTGCGTGTAGTTAGCTCATAATAATTTTTCAAAAATTAATGTTGCACTTCTTGGATTTTGCCCGGAATTAGCCAGTAATAATTTGTGTAAAAATTAATGTTATATATATCTTGGATTGTGTGCGGAATCAGCCAATAATAATTTGTTTAAAAATTAATGCGATACTACGTAAATCGTGGGTTGCAGGTGGCCACTTTGTGATCAGCATTAAGGCAAACTGCATAGACTCTACAGCGCCTGCTGAGGCCGTCTTTGCCGGGGAAGTTGACAAGCTGAAGGCAGAGCGCCTCAAGCCCCTGGAGCAGCTTACGCTGGAGCCGTACGAGCGAGACCACGCAGTTGTTGTAGGAGTCTACCGGCCACCCGGCATGTAATTATTTTATCTAAATAAATAATCCTAAGTCGTCATGCGGATCATTACCATATCGATATGTTCAACTTTGGGTTCGATAATGCGGGGACGAGCATATAATTTCGTCGTTATATTAAAAGCTTTACTTTGAATTTGTTGTCATTAAAAGAAGTTAGTATCTCGCGTAACTGAAACATATTGAACGGACTATCGATGATCAAATAGTTCAATTGATAGCATAAGTTCATGCGAGTCGATATATGGATGAACGCCATTAAATTTCATTTATGAAATTGCATCATGTTTCGATTCGGAAAGAAAATTAAAGGCTTTTTGACAAAATATATTTACGATATTCAACAGAACCCTTAGCTTAATATTGCATCATTACGAATTATGGGTTTTCAGTTAAAACCCTGAACTACGAATATTATGACAGGGTTTACATATAAACAAAAATTCAATCTGACATTAAATCCTGTTTTCGTAACTTCTTGGCACTGACTTATTTTTAGTCCCTTTTCGTGACTTCTTGGCACTGACTCCTTTCCACCAAAAATGACGGTCGCCACAGCACCCTAGGTAAAACCTCGAATGGTGAAGATATTTTAATTACAGAATTGAATGAGGAATTATTATTGGAATTCAAGACGCACAGCCAGTGCTTAGTAATACTTAAACGAAAGAAAATTAATTCCTAGCCTATATCTTATCGCCATTGAATGACCCAAAGTCGAATACAGTACTAGTCATAGAGGATTCGTCTCATTAATAGTATATAAAACGAAAAATTTATCACTTTCAAGAGCCATAAGCGACTCCTATACAATAAAACTGCGCCAGAACTATGAAGCTCAAGATGTTGAGAACATAACACCTTCAGTTAAGAGTGAGGTGCTGCAAGAGGCCGGTGTCGCTGCTGGGCTCCAAAATAATCTTCTGCAGAGGCTTGAACTTAGGGTGATGCGATCCTCCAGCCAGGCCTAATACTACCGACTCGGTGGTGGTCAAGAAGGCGCCGCTGTCACGCATGCGGAGAAGTGAAACAAGTCTGCAAGAAATTTGCTCATCAAATTTCGGTATTCTTATCGACTAATTGTAATAAATCCTCACGTAAAGTACTTGACCTATTAGTTTGTAAATAAATCAGAAGTTATGGACGGAGCGTAGTTCGGAGGTACATTGGTAAATTACATGAATTTCGAGATGATTGAGAATGTGGGATCGAGTGAAGTTGTGGTTGAAGCGTTGGAAATATGCTGTATAATAATATAAGACAATCTTTACATAGCCTGGACTTCAGAAAATTATTTTGGTGAATTCAAGGAATAATGCACAGTGCGCTGTAGTCAGTAATTTCCATAATTGTTAAACAAAATTAATTAACAGACAATATCATCAAGTTCCCTATTCACAACAGCAGGTCCTGAGATAGAGACTAGGCAGGTTATTATGGTATTCCTTCACTGAGAATTGATAAAATTCATCCCAACTGCCTTCTTAAATAAGATAAAGTCCTGAATTTTCTTCGTGATTATTGAGTTATGCATCAACAACCAGTATGGCAAAAATATATATTCATCTTTTCATAATTTCTAATCTGCCCGCGTTCTCCAGACTATAATACTGTTTGGGTTAATCTGTTGAAAGATGGTCATGAAGTATTCAACATTTCATAAAATCAAACAGTTTGTTAGGATGCGAATGCCCTCAATGCACTCAGAAAAAGGAGCAAGACTTCATTCAAATAAACAATGCACTTTTTACTCTTGCCGGTTGCTGCGTGTCATCATGACTCAGTTTGGCCCAGCAAAGTGCGCATCAGTGCTACGTACAAAAAAAATGTGTCTCTAGTTGGATAATATGCCCCATTCATTTTTTTGACTGCATGTTTACCGGTCAGTCATTGAGCGAGATGACACGGCATCAGCAACAAGGTGCACGTTGATGCCATCCTGCAGCAGCTGCAGCGCTGTCTGCTGCACGCAAACATGACACTCTATTCCGCAGAGCACCACATTCTGCACCTGAGGAGGGCAATGAGGCTAATCAGAATGAAATAATAATAAACAAGTAAAGAATAAAATAGTGAAGAGATTATCATTAATAATTCCCAATATATATGAAGTTCAATCAAGAAAGTCCTTATGTGTGTTTATATATTTTATAACTGTAGAAGACATGTGCCTTCTACATGAGGTTGAATTGCACAAATAATTAAACAAGATAAAAAACTTGGGAAGAGAATAAAAATTAAATTATAGTCTATGGACTATTTAATGACTACTTTATGAACTAAAATTCTATTCATCATATTAATGTGATGGACAAAATTTATTGATAAATGGGACAAAACTCAACATAAAAGCACACATAGCTAAAACCAGGATGTACCTAGCAGGCAAATACACTAACCTCATGCTTTTTAATTGCTTCAACAACGTCAGGAACGCACATGGAGAACTGTGTCTTGTCAACAGGTTTGATGTCATATTTTTTCAACTCAAGCTCAGGAACAGTGTGGCCAAGCCCTTGGAAAAAATAGAAAAATTACTTGAGTATCTCCAAGTAGCACTAGCATCCTTCATAACTATCACCATCACTCCATCAGTAGGTATAAGACTTCATAAACCTAAAAGTAATCATTTCACTGAGAATAATTTACTCACCTTTGGGATATTGTTCAGTGCATATGACAGGCATGTCCATAATTTTGAAAGCTTCTATAAGTCTAGCAGAATTAGTGGAAATACCTTGAAAATATTGAATTTGATTTCTGAACTTTTCTTGCATGTCACATATAAAGAGCATGCTGTTGTTAACACTAAGCTTGCCAATGTTCCTCATTATTGTGCTAGACAGAGCCATTTTATGTTCTGTAGAAGGCCTACTGGAGTAATTTTCACAGCATCATAAAACACTCCAAAGCATTAATAACAAACATAAATGGTCTGCTTTCTTAACTATAAAATTTATATTTTTAGCTACATAAATTTAATAAAAGGTGTTCAATTTCAGCCCATTGCATCAATTTAAAAATAAATGTTGTTGGCAACATATAAAAAAACTATTTTGTAAACAAAACTGAGCAACAACTTTATAGTGTGATCTCAACAGGTTCATAATCATATGTATTCTGAGTTAACAATCAAACCATTCAAATTGTAGTTCTGAGTCTGATCAGTATTAGATATGATCATATATTTCATAGAAGAGGGCCATTGAGCCTTGAAGAGTAAGTCAAGTGCAAAGCAGTAGCTGCTGAGTGTCAACTTTGGTGTCATTGACTGTGAATCAGTGATTTAGTATCATTGACAGGTCGCCTGCTGAAGACCAGACCAGAGACCACCACTGCCCTGGAGCCTGGATGTAATGGACCATCATGATTTTTGCCTTCTGGAATGTAGCCTTCAACACTTCTGGACAATCATATCTAGGCAGTGGGTCGAACCAGCCCTCGGTCGAATGGCCACTTGTCAAAGGTCAATAAATTTTGGAACAGAACTATGCTATCTGAAACCTAACCTCAGATGCGGCGAATGTAAAATTATGTTTTAACGATGCCTGGAAGTCATATTTGATCTGTGGCCTGGTGGTGCACGGCAGGTTTTATGCAAGGTTGGAGGACGAAGCCAAGTGGTTCACAGGGGAATGCAGCCAGGCACCACCAATTTGTGCACCAATAAGCCCTGAATCGAATGCCTTGGATCTCTCCGTCTCTGGACATCCACCAATCAGCCGTGAACCACTCGGCTTTGCCCTCCTCTGGCCTTGTATGAAACCTACCGTGCACCACCAGGCCATGGATTGAATATGACTTCCAGGCATTGTTAAATTATGTAATTTTACGTTCGCTGCATCTAAGGTTAGGTTTCAGATAGCAGAGTTCTGTTCCAAAATTGATTCGTCCTTTGACAAGTGGCTGTTCAACCAAGGGCTGGTTCAACCCACAGCCTAGATTATGGCTAGATAGGATTGTACTTGTACAGAAGTGTTGAAGGCTACGCTCTGGAAGGCAGGAATCATGATGGTCCATTACATCCAGCCTCAGCATCCAGGGCAGTGGTGGTCATCAGCAGGTGACCCATTAAGGGCTGATTGGTGGATGTCCAGAGAGATCCAAGGCATTCAATTCAGGGCTTATAGGTGCACAAAATTGGTGGTGCATGGCTGCGCTCCCATATGCTGTACCAACTTGACGCTCAACTATATTGCAGAATATAGAATAGAGGTATAAAACTTATAGTATAGCCTAGTTATAAAAGTAATTAATAGAACAACATATTGATGGCAGCCCCTTCTATGCTCCTAATGCCACACTCAGGAAGATGTATATAAACGGGGAAATTTCCCGCGCATTTTTAGTTTTTTATATTTTCTTCGCGCACGCGTTCGTGCAAATCACGGTCATCGATTCCACGGCGCGCAGCACTCGGCGCGGGCCGCGGAGCCGTCCAACACAGTTCTGATTTAGACACAGTTTCCATCTGAATGGAATGGCAACATCGTCTGTAGATTACAAGTAATGCTTAACGATCTTCAACTTCGAGTGTGACGTGTCCCTCTGAAGCTATTCTCATTTTTATTAATGTTTGTTGTTTGCCTCTATAATTAACCTTCATCGTTACAATAAAAATGAAAATTTATAATTAAGATAGATTTCTTCCAGTGCCTGTGTTTTTTTAAGCAATTAGCACTTATTAGTGAATGAATGATATGCGGTGTGGTTCTTTAATCTTCACTTCTGCAGTTCGCGCAATCCCGGCCATCAATTCTATGCCGCACAAGAGCAGTTTGTGGAGGAACAGACGCAATACTCAGAACAGTATGCCTTTAATTATCCTTCAACAATATATGATTTTTCTTGATATGGAAATTTGGTGAATGAGAAATCTAGAACTTTATTTTGGAAGAAATTATCTCCAAAGTCATATGGCAACACTGAACACCATATTTTTACATTTCGTATGTTTAATAGCCGCAGTTTACGATTACCGTATGTTCCATATCCAGAAACTTCATGTTTATTATACTACAAGTAATGATCTTTATTTAATTATAGCCATATTGAAATGTTTTTTTTTTGTGAAGCCCGCTCCTAGATCATTAATGTTTTTATATACATCCTCATATTGTTAGGGATGCTCGCCGCTGCCATCAGATCTTAAAATGTAAAAGTTTATTAGATACAGATTTGTATGAATAATGCCATTCAATATTGTTAGCTACATTAAATTGAGGGTGGAACATGGGAATGGCAATGATTAATTTATCTGAAGCAACCTTTACAAAATTAGTGTCAAACAAGCAAACGGATGTCATGTCAACCGGAACTCGAACACCACAGAGTATTTTATGCAGCTAATTAATTTTGCAAACTTTGCTGGAAGAGAGATTATTGAATTTTAGAAAAAAGGTGGGATAATTCAATGAAGGGTGGTGGCAGAACTGCAATCTTGATACTCTATTGCGATTGTGGTACCTATGTAACAATTTTCACATGATAGTTATAATTTTTGCACATTCAAAGTACGCATGACATAACATAACGCACCCAGATTTGGAAACCATAATTGCTCAAATGAAGCAAAAATAAACAACAGACCATTGACCTATCTTGCAAATATATATATTCATATTTTGTATCACGTAGCATAATTACGCTCTGTAATTATGCCATATTGACCTAATTTGTATAGTCCATTTACGCGCATTGTTATTAGGTACGTATTGATTGTGTCGATTTTGCCGGCCGGGAGGATGTCGGTAATGTAGTCCTAACATTGGCATGCAGGATCGTACTGTTGACGTACAGGTTCATACCCTACTTGTTTCAATTGTATCAAGTAATATTACCGTTACTTTGTATGAAAATTCTTTGTTTCTTTCAAATTTAAGTACAACCACAGGTATGTCTGTCACCGGTCAAAGCTCTTCACAAACTCCACTGGTAAAATGAATCCAAAACAAAACTCGCAAGAAATCCTACCTAAATAATTACTTAGTTTTAAACCCAAAGGTCGCATCTGAGTCCCGCGGTCGCCGGTCTACGGCCTCAGATGCGACGCCGGTGCACCAGTGACCACGAGCTCTGCGCAGTCTACCGGATGGCGGGTGGTGCGTTTAGGAAGAAGGATCCAAGAAACGCGAAATCAAATAGGACTTCTGATGGAATAATTTTTAATCATTACTTCATGCGGCTCCTACTTTTGCATACGATTAGTTTAACCATTGTATTTAACATTCGATAGCATGGGATAGGAGGCCACGCTAAAGTTCAATAAAATTTCAGAAAAACTCGTTTTGCCCGTCATGAAAAGGGCAAGACAGCGGTAAGTCACTGTCAAAACTACAAAAGTCCTATGTTACATCAAACGACCGCTTGAGAAGTCACACTGTCACAAAGAGAATACTGCGCAAAGCTGCCCTCTCCACGGCACAATATCTTCCCGTTCACGCAATGCTTGAAATGGAATGCAACCACGCAATGTCTGTTTTGAATTTTTAATAGTTTGAAAATCAATATTTTGCACAGCCAGTGCGTATATAGGGCTCCTAGACATATAATAGTAATACGCAACCCACAATATTGCTCAATAATATTTAGCATTTAGGAGCTCCCCTCTGTTTCGTGCGAGGTACGTAGCAAAACAGTGTCCATAATATAGTTGTGGGTGCTGTACCGCCTGTACGTACTACGCAGTACGCACACCTAATATCAAACCATGATTATTTCTGTTTATGTGCACGTGGCGAATAAGTGATCACTTGCAAGTGGCGAATAATTGATTGTATTTGTATAGCGAACAATTAATCGTGTGCATGTGGCGAATAGGTGATCACTCACACGATGCGAGCGAATAAGTGATCGCTTGTCCGTGGCGAATATTTAATCGCATGTGTATGGCGAACAATTAATCGTGTGTATGTGGCGAATAAATGATCGGTTGCATCTGGCGAACAAATGATCGATCGCATGTGGCGAATAAGTGATCGTTTTTCTTGTGACGAAAAAATGACCTGTAAGATTGATATGGCCTGCACGTGACTGATCGTTTGCATCTGGTGAAAGGTGAATGTGAAAATTAAGATTCGAAGTCACCATCAAAATGAGGGCATCATCACATGAGGGTAAAAAGTGTTTTTTTTTCTTTACATGAATTTAGAACACATTTTAAAACTCAGTATAGCACCTCCAATGAGAGTTATAGGCTACGTGTACGTTTGTATGTGGCGAAAAGTTGATTGATTGGCGAATAGCTGACGAATAATTGATCGATAGCGGCGAATAATTGATCATTTGCAGTAGGCGAATGGTCGATCGCCATATATATATGGCGAATAACTAATTATGTGCGCGTATATATTATATGGCGAATAACTAATTATGTGTACGTGGCGAATAAATGATCGCTCGCACGTGGCCTAAAATTGATCGCATTTGTATGGCGAATAGGTGTGCATGTGGCGCGAAATTGCGTGCATGTGGCGAATTGGTGATCGCGCACACGTGGAGAATAAGTGATCGCTTGCCAGTGGCGAAAATTAATCGTATGTGATGGCGAATAATTAATCGTGTGCATGTGGTGAATAAATGATCGGTTGCATGTTGCGAACAAGTGATCGGTCGCATGTGGCGAATAAGTGATCGTTTTCTTGTGACGAAAAAATTACCTGTAATTACCTTTATAGCCACATGTCACCCAATCTACATGCGGTGGACGACGTCTGAGTTGCCCATCATTTGGTGCGGAATTAAGATTCGAAGTCACCATCAAAATGAGGGCACCATCACATGAGGGCAAAAAGTGCTCATTTCTTTACATGAATTTCGAACACATTTTAAAAATCAGTCAGATACATCCAATCATTTTAATCGACGTGGAAACTATTTAGCCCTCTTTTCAATCAATATTTAGGTAATGCATT